GTCAAGAGTTCTTCAGAGCACTCTGGGAATGCATAGAACTTTACAAATCAATTTGCCAAATTGGCTTGGCTGGAAATCATGCTCTTTGTACATGAATCCAAGGAGCCCTGGTGGCACTGTGGTTAAGATCATGGCTGATAACCTGAAAGGTCAGCAGTTTGAGCCCACCACACACTTTTCAGGAGAAAGATGTGGCAGTCTGTATCTGTAGATTATAGCCTTGGAAACCTGTCCTACTGGGTCTTTCTGAGTCAGAACCGACTTGACTACAATGGTCTGTTTTGTTTTTAATGAGTGCACAAATCCCATGGAAAGGCATTTCTGAATCTATCAGGCTCTCTCAAGCCTTATTCAACCAATGCTGAGAGTCAGGGTAACATCATGAAAAAGGACTTCAGGATCAGTGATACCTGAGCTCAAATTCTAGCTCTACCACCTCACTTGCTGTGTGACTTTGGATAAGTAACATGACCTCTCTGAGAATGGGATTACATAATACCACCCACCATACAAAGTACTGGGAGGATTAAACGCCCACACTACACAGGGTCACTCTGGTGCACTGGTTAAGCACGCAGTGCTAAATGAAAAGTTGGCAGTTTAAACCCACCAGCTGCTCTGTAGGAGAAAGATACAGCAAACTGCTTCCATAAAGATTTACAGCCTTAGAAATCCTATGGGGTAGTTCTACTCTATCCCATAGGGTTGCTATGAATTGGAATTGACTAGATGGTAACAGGTTTAGTTTTTTGGTTTGGAATTTGTAAAAGACCTGAAAACCAAAAAAAAAAAAAAACCCCAAACTCATTGTCATCGAGGCGATCCAACTTATAAACTTATAGCAACCCTTCCTTGGGTTTCCAAGGCAGTATCACTATGGAAGTAGATTGCCCAACCTTCCTGAGGAGTGGCTGGTGGGTTTGAACCGCCAGCCTCTGGTTAACAGTCAAATGCCTTAGACACTACACCATGCTTAATTTGGTGTTGTCTATATAGTTATAAACAGCCCATAAATAGCCTATAAACGAGATGGATTGACACAGTGCCTCAATGATGGGCTCAAGTACAGCAAGGATTGTGGGGATGGTGCATTAGTGGGCAGTGTTTCGTTCTGTTGTACACAGGGTCACTATGAGTTGGAGCTGACTCAATGGCACCTAACAACAACATAAACAACCCAGAATGAAAGAACTCCTCCCTAAAAACTATCTACTCCCTCAGTCTACTATACAACAGGTAGACAACTTATAATAACCAAGTACAGTTTAGAAAACATTAATATAAAAAGCTTATAAATACTTAACCAAAACAGATGCTTAATTTAATTTAAGCTTTGAGAAGAACCAAACTGCAGATTCTTAGGTGTCAAAAGATAATTTTATTTTATAATCTATATAATTCTGCCATTAAAGTAGCCCTGCTGGAAGAATAAGGAATTCTGGTGGTGTAGTGGTTAACACATTTGGCTGCCAAACAAAAGGTCAGCTGTTTGAACCCACCAGCCACTCCATGGGATAAAGATGAGGCACTCTGCTTCCATAAAGATTTATATCCTTGGAAACCCTACAGGGCAGTTCCACTCTGTCCTATCAGGTCACTATGAGTTAGGATCAACTCAATGGCAGTGGGTTTGTACTTTTTGTGACACGATGGCTAAAAGCTTGGCTGCTAACCAAAAAAAAAAAAAAAAAGTCTGTAGTTCAAACCCACCAAGCAGCTCTGCAAAAGAAAAAAATTGGCAATCTGCTCCCATAAAGATTACAGCCTAGGGAATTTGATGGGGCAGTTCTAGTCTGTGAAATAGGGTCACTGAGTCAATATTATCTCAAATGCACACATCAACAACATACATTGTTAACTTGTAGAAATTAAGCACACAATTCACTCCTTTTAAAACCATACATGCTGACTATCCACGGTGGGCTTTCCAGAGCCTGTTACTGCCAGATGAGTCTTTGGTCCTGAATATGTAAGAGGTAGAAGCAAAGGACTCAGAACTGGAAAGGTCTCAGAGTTAGCCCCATCTAGCCTTCTCATTAAGGAGCTCTGGTGGTGTAGTGGTTAAAAGTATTGGACTACTAACCAAAAGGTCGGAGGTTTGAACACACTAGCTTCTCAGCAGGAGAAAGATGAGGCAGTCTGCTTCTGAAAAGATTTTACAGCTTTGGAAATCCTATGGGGTAATTCTACTCTGTCCTAAAGGGTCATTATGAGTCCAAATCTTAGACGGTAGTGGGTGGGTAGCCTTCCCATTCAATAGGTGAAAAGACTAAGGCTGAGAGAGGGGAAGTTGCTTGGCCCAAGTAAAACAATAAGGCCTTGGGTTAGGATTTTTAGTAAAGTCACTATAAACAAAACCTGTAACAAAAAGAAATTACTACAAAGTTTTATTCACTGATATTTCCAACCAGTGTCCAATTACTCAATAAGCAATGTAAGCACAGGCTTACTTTAGCTTATTTATTTATCTGTAGTGAACAATTTCACATTTTTTTACTATTTAAAAAATTCTCCTTCTAGGTATGGCTGACATCTGTCTCTCTCTCACCCTGCAGTGAATTGCTTGATGTGGCCCTTCTAGCCATTGTCCTCCATTCTGTGATATTTTGTAAATCTCATTATCCATGCCTATTTGGGGTGGTGTGGTAGTTAAGGTCAGGTATCAACTTGGCTGGGCAGCTGGTAGTAGTCATTCCCTATAATGACTGGCAATTGACTCTGTGATGGGATTTAGGTTAATTCTGTTGGGGCAACGCAGGTGGAATGTATCTTGAGTCCTGCCTTGCTGGAGGGTACAATTCAAATCACCACCCTTAGCTTCCCTGAGGGTATACCTATGAATCTCTTGGGAAGATTTGCTCTCCTCTTACTCCGGCTTTGTGTCTTGGATCATCCTCATCTCACCCCTGGATTTGGGACAGCAGCCATCATCTGATCTGCTGATCGAGGTTCATCAAACCCTGAGAGTTGGGAGGATCCGCCAGACCTACTCACGGACCTGGGACTCGCCAGCCTGCCAGCCTCCACCACTACTACTTGAGATGAACCCTTGGGTGTCTGTGAGTTCTGTGAGGCGTTACAGAGAAATACAGAACCCTAAGACTGGGGAAATTACTGGGAGGAGGAGGAGGAGTTAATGTCTGAAATGATGGAGTGGCATGGTAGTTTGGACATTTGGGACATCTTTGACCTCTGCCTCATGGGGACCGGCCTTGTGCTGATCTTCCTAAGAGAAATTGTTCAAGCACACCCTAAAGCAATTTCCTACAGAATCAAAGCCTCTTTTCAAATTTACAATCCCTCACAAAGATAGATTACTGAGAAAGCAAGGTAAGCATGGCTTACATGTACTTATTTACTAATCTGTAATGAACAACATTGCATGTTTTTCACCACATGATGCAACATTGTTCACTACATATTGGTAACTAAGCACACATAAGCTCATGCTTACCTTGCTTATTGGGTAGTCCACCCCTGTTTCCAACTCTGTGGACGAACAATGTCAGCAGCTTGTCTGGTAATGGATCTGGTCTGACCTACAGGAAGGAAGTTTTCCTCTAACATCATAACAGAGGGAAGCCTTCTAAAATCGGTTAGTCTCCTCGTACATTTCTCAAGATGACACAGAAAGAATCTAGTTTCTAATACATCTGAAGGTTGAAAAAGCTGAAAGGAAAAAAAAAAAAAAACATTGCCAAAATAACCCTTTGAACCTTGAATATGACATTTGCTGCCCCATGGTAAGAGGCACTGTACTAGGCCCACAATTCAGGTAAATGCCACCATCTGAATGTAATTCCTCACATTGAGTTGACAAATCAAACATTTTAGCAACTTTTTAGGGTGTCCATTATGACTTTTTCTATAAAAATCAAATTCTCCAGTTAAATTTCTGAGCAGAATAATTTCTTACAACTGATCGGTATATTTAAAAGTTACTAACCCATACAGTGTAAGATTTACTAACACCTAAGTAGAATTAGATCCCTGTTGTATAATTCCCCAACTGTAAATCAACATTGATTACTAATTCTGATTCTATCTTGGTAATTAAGGTAACATTATATCCTAAATACACTGATTTAGAAACAGGGTTGTCCTGAGGCTAATTTCCAGTTCAAATATATTTCAATGCTTCAAAGCAATTTTACATCAAAAACCCTTATAGGAGACTACCATCAAGACAGAGTAGGATGGAGGCTAGAAGGAGGAGATGAAGTCAGGGGACTTCATGTTTTTAGGATGGGAAAAGCCATAGGACCTGCCTACAGTCTGAGGGGAAGCAAACAGGAAAGACAATCGAAAATTCAGAGGACACACTTCGTAATCACTGACAGGGATGGGGCCCCCTCACCAGCACTTTTGGAAAGAAGCAGGAAATAAGAAGGAAGGGAAGGCGAGAGGGAAGAAAGAGAGCAAAAAAGAAGAGGATGAGGGGAGGGAAAGGAGGAAGGAGAGGAAAGGAGAGAGTATGGAAGGCAAAGAAAATGCAGACAAATGTTGAAGAAAGTTTGGGTGACAGATATGCAGGTGAGGAATTAAAAAGGAACTCACCAATGGTTTGCAATTGTAAAGAGAGGTTCTGCTCAAACACATATTGTATACTGTAGGGATGTACTCAAATAACAACTCAAAACTACTCGAACCTCAGTCTTTAACAAGGTCATATATCGATGTGGAAAAAAAAAATACCTCCTAGTAAAGAAAAACTCAAACTCTAAATTAGGTTAATTCACAGTGTGGATGTAATAAATAGAAAATATACAGTTTGATATTTAGGTTGTCAAAGTGATAAAAGAAAGCATACTCAAGTCTATAGAATAAGCCTTTCCAATCCCAGAAATTACTAAGAATGCAATAGTTATCTTGGCTGCAATGACTTGTAAATATCTAGAAGAGCCCAGATTTTAAAGCCCTGAGGACACTTGCTAAAACTAAGAAATTTGGCACTAGTCTTTGCATACAATTTGGGGTTTCTTTCAGAGTTGATATCTTACCAAACAGAGCCATCTGTGTTCCCTCTGGGAAAGGTTCAACTGTTCTGTTGCCATTGACATGATGTTTGGCTAGGAAAAAAAAAAAAAAAGAAAGAAAGAAATGCAAGTTTAAGTGTAAAGTTCTACACACATACTAACACATGTCATTAAATGTGTCAAGGAGCCGATTTCTCATTTTTAGATATAAATGGCACCAAAGCTTGCCCTCTTCAAAGAGTTTTGACTATTTTGTTTTTTAATCTCACAGTTAGAGAAAACCCTAGACAGGGATCATGGAGTTCAGATAATTCGTTTTACAATGTACGTGCCCAGGCTGACCTTGTGTAGTTGTACAGCGAATGGTGGCAGAGCTAGTTCAGCAAGAAAGCCCCTGATTCCTGGCCAGAGGGTTCCCACTGTGCCAGGCTGTCCCATGGAGAATAAGGGAAACTCCAGTTCCAGGGTGAACTGGGAATGGCTTCCCCCTGAAGATTCCTGACAATCAGAACACTGACCCAACCAATACATAAAGGGAGAAGTAAAGATAGTGGGATCAATTTTTCAAGAAACAGAATAGCAGAGCAGTCATTCCACCACAGTTCCAGCACTGTTCCCAGGGTTAAAGACACTAGCTCTCTAAAAGACAAGATGAATATTCCAGTGCTTCTTATTACTCTTTATCCCCCAGCTCCCTCAACCAATCATTCTTCCTATCCTAGTGCATTTCAAGTACTGAGAAATAAAAAGTGACCAGATAATGCATTCCCAGAATTAACTTGTTCTCATAGCCCTGAAACGGTAACCATAAAGAGAATATTTGACTATGTCCCATTTATGAATAATTTAATAATATCCTCAGCTATTTTTTTTAATGAGAGCATTTATGTAGGAAATACATAAGAGAAGTATAGCTAAAAGAATGTAACACTACATCATGGAGCACATACATGTTGATTTAATGGGTTACAATAGATGTATTGAACTCTAGCACTAGAGGGAAGGTATGATTTAGGGGAAAAGGGATCTAAGGGGAAAGTCCTCAAGAAGAGTTCATTTATCTTCAAGGCATAAAAATTCAAAAGCAAATAGTATCAGAAAGCTTATAATTAATTATGTGCTAAGCCCTGGAATACAGATTAAAGTAAGAGTTTTCAGAGGGAGAGAAGTTGGGAAGTCATAATCCACAACATGGAGGAATTAAGACTGGTACAGAGTTTTAAAGAAGTAGGATTTGGAAAGGTAGAGAATGAGGAAGCAACTTAAGTGAGGAGGAGTAGCTATAACCACTGCATCATCTGGGCAGAGAAGAATATGGTCTGAATGTAGTAGAGGTGATATGTTGATCAGTGATAATTAAGGATGGATTGTGTTCTGGTTACCTAGTGCTGCTCTGACAAGAATATACCATAAATGGGATGGCCTTAACAAACAGAAGTTTATTCTTACAATTTGGAGGCTTTAAGTCCAAGTTCAAAGTGGCAGGCTCTAGGGGCTGGGCGAAAGCCCCTCGGCCTTGGGCTTCAACTCTGCCTCCTGCTCCTGGCCCACTGAAGCTACAGGCTTTTCTTCACTCAGCTGCTGGCTGCAGAGGCTGACAAGCCCAAGGTCAACAAGTAACAAGGCACAGTCCTGATATTACCAAACCACACAGCAGGCCATTAAATGTCCCAAGATTGGGAAAGAGCATGGCAGGCTGCTGAATGAAAACTCGGCTACATGCAGGGTCCATGCATGCCAAAAAGCTGCAACCCATTCCCAAAGCTTCTCCTTATATACAGGAAGCAGACCGCATCCCTAAACCATCTACTCAGCTGTTTGCGGCAGATTCTACCTTGGAGTTGATTGCCAGTCTCATCATGGGGGATAACTACAATCAGCTGCCCAGCCACTCAAAACCAGGTCCAGCCAAGCTGGTACATAACCTTAACTACCACATCTGCCCTCCAGCTTTCACACGGTTTACTCCAGAGAAAGGCATTGCTGGGGTATGAAGGCTGAAAGGAGAGTAACAGGACATTTATCATCTTTTCCCCTCTTCCAGGATATCTATGGCAGTGATTATGTTTCCTCTTTGGTTCTGGGTCCTATAAGGGATCCCCTCTCTCTGTGGTACCAATTCCTACTGAACAGATCCTTCACTCCTGGCCATTAATTCAAGTCCATTAAAAGTCCCAAGGTCGGCAGAGCATGGCAGGCTGCTGAACAATGACTCGGCTACATGCAAGGTTCAAGCATGCTATAAGCTACAGACCATTCCCAAAGCTGTTTCTTATATATGGGAAGCAGACCACATACCCAAAGCAGCTACTCAGCTGCCCCAATAGATTCCACGATGGAGTTAATTACCAGTCTCACCATGGGGAATAACTAAATTCAGCTGCCCAGCCACTCAACCAGGCCTAGCCAAGTTGACATACAAACTTAACCACCACAGATCAAGAAGCTGGGTTGGTAAGCACTCTGGTAGTGTAGTGCCTAAGGCATTTGACTGCTAACCAGGAGGCTGGTAGTTCAGACCTACCAGCCACTCCTCAGAAGGAAGATTGGGCAATCTACTTCCATAGCGATACTGCTTCAGAAAGTCAGATCTGACTCCATGGCACTGAGGTTGGTTAGTTTTTTTTTTCTTTTTCTCAGTAGGCTGGGATCATGTGATGCAAGGTCTGGAGAACCCTGTTCAAACTCATGGGAACCTTAGGCAGTCTCCCAAATCACTGGAAGTCTTGTAGAATCTGAAGGTTTTCAACGCTCAATCTAATCCAGACAATCCTTTGGGGATTCTATCAGTTCAAGAGTACAGAGACTTCCACTTGTTCCTAAGGAATTGTGGTATTTTCCTAAAAACAGAAAATCTGAAAGAAGGGAAGGAGCCATTACAGGGCTCAGAGTATAAGCTAGTCAGTTCAGCAGCCTGAAAGAAGTCTCTAGCTATTAATTGGCACAATTAGCAGTTGTATGAAGGGAAGTCCCAGGTGATCACACGACCTTGAAAAATGCACATCCATATGGTTAGAACCTATGGTTACTGAATCTAAGGAAACATGCTGAGGCTTCATGTGGAGGTCACAGTTCTGTCCTATGCTATAGAGATAGTACCTCATAACACCTGGGAGTGATTTAGAAAAGCTTTATCTCTATACATATCAAGATTGATAAAACCATTCAAACTTGTTGGCTCACTAATCCCACTCATAAAATTTTGAGCTAAGAAAAATGCAAGAGAAAAAAAGGTGGTACACATCATTTATTAAAGTATTACCTGTAAAAATTAAATCTTAAAATCAACCAAACATCGAAAAGTAGAGAAATTGCTTTAGAAAACTCCCTAGAAACTGCTTACAATGGAACACTATGCAACATATTTTAAACATAGCATACGAGTGATATGGCACTGTGGTTAAAGCATTGGGCTGCTTACCAAAAGGTCAGCAGTTCAAATCCACCAGCTGTTCCACAGGAGAAAGACAAGGCAGTCTGCTTCTGTAAAGATTTATAAGCATGGAAATCCTACGGGGCAGCTCTTCTCTGCCTATAGGGTCACTATGAGTCAGAATCCACTCAATGACAGTGCGTTTGAGTTTTTTTTGTTTACAGACACATTGAAAGATAGTTGAGGTAACAGTAAGTGAAAAAAATCCTAATACATATTTCATGTAGATTATAATTACAATTAATGAAATTATGAATAGTTATGAAAAAAAACTGGTAAAAAAACCATGCAAAAACTTCTCAAGAAGAAAAACAAAGTGGAGGTCTCACACTCCCAGATCTTAAGGACTACTATACAGCCACAGTAGTCAAAACAGCATGGTATTGGTACAATAATAGACAGATAGACCAATGGAACAGAATTGAAAGTACAGATATAGACCCATCCACCTACGGACAACTGATCTTTGACAAAGGTCCAAAACCCATTAAATGGGGAAGAGACAGCCTCTTTAACAAATGGTGCTGCCCAAACTGGATATCCACCTATAGAAAAATGAAACAAGACCCATACCTCACCCCATACACAAAAACAAACTCAAGCTGGATAAAAGACTTAAATGTAAAACCCCAAACTATAAAATTCATCAAAGATAAAATAGTGGCAAATCTGGGAGCCCTAATTTATGGCATAAATAGACTATCAAACATAATATGCAGGAGATAGAAGAGAAGTTAGATGACTGGGACCTTTTAAAAATTAAATTCTTATGTGCATCAAAAGACTTTGTCTAAAGGGTACAAAGAGAACCTACAGATGGGGAGAAAATATTTGCCTATGACATATCTGATAAAGGACTTATCTTCAAAATCTATAGAAAACTTCAACACCTCAACACCAAAAAGACAAATAACCCAATTCACAAATGGGCAAAAGACTTGAACAGACACTTCACCAAAGAAGATATACAAGCAGCCAACAAACATATGAGAAATTGCTTGCAATCATTAATCATTAGTGAGATGCAAATCAAAACAACAATGAGATATCATCTTACCCCAGCAATAATAGCAAAGTTCAATGGGTCAGAAAATAACAAATGCTGGCAAGGTTGCAGAGAGATTGGAACTCTTGTGCACTGCTGATGGGATTGTAAAATGGTACAACCCTTGTGGCAAACAGTATGGCATTTCCTTAAAAAACTGAAAATAGAAGTACCATTTGACCCAGCAATTCCATTACTAGGAATATATCCTAAAGAGGTGAGAGATAGCACACTAACAGACATATGTATACCTATGTTCATCGCAGCACAAGTCACCATAGCAAAGAGATGGACACAACTTAAATGCCCATCAACGGATGAGTGGATAACCAACTGATGATATATGCAATGGAATACTATGCTACATTAAAGAACAACGAGGGATACACGAATCATCTCACAATGTGGATGAACCTAGGGGACATTATGCTGAATGAAATAAGTCCATCACAGAAAGACAAGTACTGTATGAGCTCATTACTGTAAAAAGACAGAGAATGGTTTGCTTGGGAAAGGGAACTCACTTAGTAGGTTACCAGAATGGGGAGGGTAGGTGAGGGATTAATTTTGGGCTACTTGGGGCCTACACGCTGACGTGGGTAGGGAGAGGTATAT